TTCAAGAAATCGTTGAGAACTCTTTGTCCATCATCCCCTGTAAAATCATTCTCATGACACCAGATCGACTTTGCATAGGGCGCATTCTTCCACTTAACAAGGTAGTACAAATCCTGCACTCAAAAACAGAAGCCACAAATCACAGTTAGTTTATTTCCATTTGCAATGTGTGAATAGAGGTTTTTTAATCTGCATTATGGTTAAGTTGTCAAACAATGACACGAATTTGTATGGTTGTTCCTGACCCAGGCAACCAGACACCGGATCCGTGTCTGGATCAAACCGGACATCAAACCGGACATCCTGTCGGTGTCCGGTTGTCCAGATTAAAAAAAAAAAACAAGGAAAAAAAAATAAATACACAGAGCTTAAATGCACAAAGATTCCATACAAATAAGTGTAAAGCAGTGAAATCGTATGCCAATGCCATCGCCCTCAGGCCCCACCAACACAGTATCCAATGTCGCTCATCTTTGTCCGACGTCACCCATCCTTCATCGCCCTCCCATTCGTCATTGCCCTCCCATCCCTGCTCGCCCCTCCCATCCTTCATCGCCCTCCCATCCCTGGCCGCCCCTCCCATCGGCCAGACCCTCCTCCCACGTCACAAAAGTGCGTGGAATATGAGCGAGGGCGATAGACAGAAAATCAAGTTGCAAAATCATGCAGAAATCCAAATAGTCATGTACCAAGCAAAGAGCTCAAATGCGCCAAGATTCTATCCGTGTGCAAGATGCAACTGGTTCTTTGATATCTGGCACTGTGACTTCAATTTCTTTGTCCCAAACTTGATCTGTTGTATTATCTTCGGCTTCAACCTCGTTCTCAGATTGAGGAAGATGCTTTGAGCACCATCTTCTTCCTGGCTCCGGAGTTTCGGGGCAGCCTTTGACAATCGCACCAATCGCCGTCTGATACAAGTCAACATCATAGTTTGCACAACGCGATCTGCACAACACTTTGAAATGACCATCGAGTTGACAATATCTTCCACAGAGCATGTCGTTGCAGTTTTGTGGATGGATGAGTGCTTCCTCCAGTAGATGATACCAGAAAGCAAATTGCACCTGCGTCATTAAAATAAACACCAGAGTGAGTATCTATTTCACTTGCGAAGTACAGAAAAAAGTAGTCATGGCTTAGTACAAAATCGTTGATCAAACGATTGACAAACCTATGACAACCTCCTTCCTGGTTTCTCTAAACTCTTGCTCTTAAATTTTTTTTTGTTTTTGCCAAACCCCGCAAGCAACTCTAATCACACCTTAAACATCGGCCATCACCCCCCAACACTGAATAACCCACAAAGAATACAGAAATACTTGCCAACTACGGCACCTGAACTACGTTTATCACACTGGGACAGGAGGTGAGAATTTTTTGTACATGAGGAACGTTGCTCATCGTGTTTCCCGTGGTCAAAAACCTACGTTATTGTTGAGCAATAGTGGTTTTGGGGCATAGGAGGGTGTTAAAAAAAAAAAAAAAATTCCAACCCCTGCATTGGTATACCCCTCGGCCCTGGGCAACCTTAACCCCGACAACACTAACCCCCGCAATCCCGCCCCCACAACAGCGACCCCAACTGCCACCATCCTTACACCACATAGCCTTGCAACCCCTCCCCTCCAATCCCCCCTGAGCGACGCTAGTCTCCCCCACACCCTCGCAGGGTTGGGGGGTCCCATCGTTTGACCCCTGGATCCCCGGGCGGGGACCCGAAGAAAAACTCACTCCCCTAACACACCCGCCCCACCTCCTGAAACTCCTTCATAGTACCCCCTTACAACCCCCCAACAGTTCCCCCCTGAAACAGTCCCTAAATAGCCCGCAAAGCATACACAAACACCCGACAACCAGCAGACTTGAACCACGCACAGACCACCACCGACCACCCTCCCACCATCCCCCAAAGGGCCTGAACCTTCGCCACACCAACAAATTCAAACAATTTTTTTTAGTTATTAAATTACAAGAAGGGAAAGAAGACATAATAATTAAAGTTATTAAAATTACACGAACGGAAAAAAAGAAAAAAGAAAAAAAAGTTATCACCTGTTCCAAAATGTTGTCGTATGGCATTCCGTAGTTGAGGTGTGGAATAAGATGTTGGGCATGCTTCTGTAAAAACAGGGACACCCTCCAACGGAAATACGCTCCTTCAAGTCTTTGACGATTTAAACGGTATCTTTGTGTCTGTTTCTCCTTTGAAATATCACGCTGAACGTTACTCAAACCAAGAAATCTGGTCAACCCTTCTCTATCGTTGTGGACTTCGGCTGCTGTTTCAAATCCAGAATGAAGTTTATACCTGCAGAACAATCACATGTGAATAAAAGGATGATAAATTAGATAAAAACAAATTTTGTTGAAGAGGACGAGGATTATATCAAAGGGGAACAATTCTTCAAACACTCTGGAAAAAAGAAGAAATAACGAAAAGTCTAGGGGGGCTAGTAGACAGACAAGGAAGTGAGAATGGGTACCAAGGAGGTAGGAATTTTTGTGATGGACTAATGATGTGCGGCGTAAGGGACTACTAGGAATGCCTCCCCTACGCTCCCCCTCCTGGGGACTCCCCTGTATGAGTACATCGTAGTACCCGTGCATTTATATAGGCTTACAGATGCGGTTGAGTGCAGATTTACAGTTGAGGCCGAGTGCAGATTTGCAGTTGAGAGTACATAACATATACAAGATAGGACGAGAGTATGAATACATATATAGGATGCGGATCTAAGCTACCAGCCAGGTGGCC